AGGGAGTCTCTCCACCTCCCCGGCTTCCCGAGACAAAACGTTTTCAGCCTTCCCGATTACAGAAGGTCTTACGGAAGATCACCAACGGATGTAGTAATGAAGCAGCAGGAAAAGGGTTCAAAGGCAGTGATCACGATGGCTAAGGGGGGGGGGGCGTTAGTGCTTGATGACTTCATTGGAAGTCACTGCAGACTAGACTACTCAGCACGCTGGAAGGGGTACCTGACAGGAGGCCCGTCGCGCGCCAAGAAAGCAGGGTCAGCAGACGTGTCACAGCGCGTGCTCTATTAAGCTTGACGCGAAATCGCTACAGTACGCGCGACGACTCGTCCGCTGACTCTGAATTCTTGCCGCGCGACGGGCCTCCTGTCGAGTACCCCGCATACTCGACAGGAGGCCACCGTGATCATTGCCTTTAAGAAGTCTTCAATTTGCTTCTGCATCCAAAGGCTTTACCTGCGCTCTTAGCCAGCAAAGTACGCTGTTTGGTGTGATGTATCGCTGTAATCGCTCATTGTAATTACTGATAGTGGTCTCCAGAATGGCAAGGCGAGCCGACGTCAAAACAAAATCATCATTGGATGAAATTGTACCTGAAACATAAGTGATTTTAGTCGGACACAACAAATGAGCTGCTGGAGGGGATCTGACGTCATTTTGTATCAAGAATATCAAGTGTGAACTCGCTATTTCTACAGTCAATCAATGTTATCCAATTAGAAAGGATAAAGGATAAAGCATTTGCCGTTGATCAATCCCTTTTTGGGATGCGGCACGCATTCTACTTCCATTTGTACATTCGTAGTGGCGTTTGAATGCGATTTGGGATGCGGCACGCATTCTACTTCCATTTGTACATTCGTAGTGGCGTTTGAATGCGATGTGGCCTATACAATGACTTGCGGGGGCCAGCCGATGTACAAGTCAGTGTTTTTATCCTCCCAGACAAGTCTGGTACCAATTAACCGACCCCGGAGGGATGGAAGGCTTGGTTGGCCCGGGCGACTCACGACCCAGGATTTGATCCCCGGACCGCTCGCGTGGTAAGCGTGCCACCACTTGCCACTACACCACTTCCGCCCCTTTATCCTTTACCCAATTAGAAATAAAATCAAATCTCGAATCAGTTGAATAACCCTTCCCTCTCTTGCAACACCGCGCAGCGACGGGTGTCAGCTAGGAGATACCTGTCGCTAAATCGAGAGCGCTGCGTAGACGTTATCACATCTCTTCGTAACGCGTTACGCGCGCGATGCCACCAGCGACGCCGCTAATGACGCACTAGATACCTCTTGACCCACACACCTTATTATAGCAGGAAATGCTGTTCAAACACACCTGGATAACCGCTGAAGGAGTAGCTTCGCCCAGGGTCACCTGTAGCGAACGTGTACTTTTTCTGCATTCGCAGCATGGTTGAATAGGACGACCACGTGACATGGGAGAAATAGATGTCGGAGAAGTCAGGAAGCAGCTAAACAGAAGAGGTGATCAAGTAGAAACAGAACGATACTTTTCTTAGCGATTAGCATAGGTGAGCACATTGAAAGATCCATCTAAAAAATGGATTAATGTGGAGAAAATCGCACCTTCACTGACCATGAGTGATGTATCTACATAAAGGGAAGGCCATAAAAGAGACGCTTCGCCCATGGCGCACATTATGAAACTTTTCATCGCACAGGGTGCCGCTGTTCATGAAAGTTTTACAAAATATCCCTTACAAGGAGGTCGTTCAGGGTGTGCCAAGCTTTTTCAAAATGGTTTCTTGCATGACATTGGGGCACATATGGGGACCACAGAAGCATGGTTCATTTTTCCTGAACGGCCCTCTGAATACCAGAAAAGGGAGTTCGATTCCTCGTGGTGACAAATTTTTGCATTTCGAGTTGACGTTTCAAAATTCGCGCAAAATGGAGTTAGCATGAATAATTAGTACCATATTCATGATTAGGACCGTCAGTAACCCTTACAAATAGACTTTGATTGAAAAACTGGTGAAAAAGGTGTGACTAGGGACCCCCTTTTCTGGTATTCAGAGGGCCGTTCAGGAAAAATTAACCATGGTTCTGTGGTTCCCGCATGTGCCCCTATATCATGCAAAAGACCGTTTTGAAAAAGCTTGGCACACCCTGAACGACCTCCCTTGTTAGATGTCCTCCCCATAAGTGGAAGCAGGCCCACTTCCACTGCCCTCACCGTCTCAAAATATGACGTCATCTTCCATCACCGTTGAGCTCAAGAAGGCCTACAAGTAATCGTTCCAGCCTGAAGCTGCTACGGAATTTCTTCAATCGGTTAACTGACAGATTGCTTCCTAGGGACAGTAGCTCTAAATATGCAAGACCCCTTCCGACCAGCGTTTCAGATAACGTCGTAAAGGTCCATGATCCGCCGAGGACCAGTTGAGCTCGAACCGTGCACAAGGTTCCCATGGCAAATTCTTGTGATGTTCTTGGTACAGAAAGCTATTATACGTTTATTGATAGATTGGGATCTGCTCTTCAATATTAACCAGTTGAGAGCAGTATTAGTTAAGTGTGAGTAATGCTGTTTTAGAATGTCCCTTTTTTTCCCACTGTATAGCTGCATAAAACTTTCAAGATGAGCAATCGATTGCAAAATTAATATCAATGTTAAATAGTATAAATAGTGGCACTAAGACATCTTGCTACACTCTCCCTGAACAACATCACCGTACATTATTCGGGCACGCGCCTCGCTGCTTCGCAACCGCACGCATGCGCGTCAAATTAGTTGTCCCACCACTTTGCCCAGTGGAAGCGTAGAAGTATATTTAGCTTAACTTCAGAACAAGTGACCGCTTTTCCAATTTCGGAGTAATTAAAAATAGTCAGAAATGCTATCAATATTTTGTTTGGGACTACGCAGTCGTTTTTTTGCGTTTCTTTAGGGTTTCTCATAGATCACCCACCTTGATAAGAGCGGAGCAGTGTCCATTCCCAGCGAGAAGGCTGCGTTGTGTTTCTGGTTTTCTGAATTTCACCGACAGATCCTCAATGTCACCAGCCAATTGGAGAAGGCTGAAATTGTGTCCGCATCCGGGCTAATTTTTCAGCAAGATGTTAAAGTTGAGAACGGCTACAGAACATTCCAACAAATGTGAGAACATACTAAAGAGGATGCGCGACGACTTCTTCTGCAGACAGAGTTCGACCCAGCTTTCCTTCATAACCGTCGATCATTCCCAGTAGTTGATTCAGAGTCACGTTCACCTGTAGATGACCAGATTTGCTTCGGTGACCTATTCATGGCGGAATATTCTATATTTCAATGGAGACCCTCTCATCTACAACATCTAGTCCTTTTAGCCGTTTTCACGCATCCGACAACACTTTCACGGCATGTTTGTGGTAGAGGTGGGCGCGTAAAATCAATACCAATTTTGAAGCACGGCGCGAATCGGGAGCGACCTTCAAGCATGACCTCAACTACCTTGATAGTTATGTACTGTCAGAAACTTAGCTCAGTTTCAGGGAAAATGGCGATTTTTTGCAAACACTTTCAAAGCTGAATGTTTTGAAATCGGAATACATTCGGTACTGTGACTGCTGACCTGATTCCAATAATGATCGTCCGGGTAACTGGCAATATTTTCTTGCATCCACAAGTAGTTGTCCATGAGATATTCGTTGAGATCATCGCAGAACTGTTCGGCTCCATCGCAAAAACCATCCACAGTATTCGCCACATGTAGGCGGATCAACTCACGCGTCGCTCTTCCTGATATATTCACAAGTTTTAGGGATTATTTTGTGACGTTCAGAACGATAAGAATCATTGCTTAAACTTATTTCGTCAAGAGCTTAACACGAACAAGGCTACCTAAAGTGAAGGCAAATTCATGTGTTATTACCCTTGTAAGTGTCTGTGATGAGAAAGAAGAAATGAGAAGGCCCGGATGAGAAAGGAGGAGGGTTGGTGCGAAGGGCTAGTATCCTTGTTGCTACAGAAACGACGAATATATATATAAGTAAGTGTCTGTGAAGATATGAAGTGTAAAGTTAGTGAAGAAAAAATTGGGAGCAATAAGCCTGTCTCAATAGCGGCGAAGCAAAACATAATAGCATCGAATTGTGAGCGGGGTCAATGGTGCTAGGCGGGGGCAATGCTGCATGCTGGGGCCCTAGCCCCACGGATTAGTCGAGTCATCCGAATTGTGTACATGCGCCCATTTGCATACCGCTGCACTTTTTTCAGAGGAAGGTTTAATTTCGATCAGAGATCTTCTAGCCTTTAACTCAATGCAGATTGCAATGCACTCTTCGAGCATCTTCTTTTCCCATCTTCAATAATCAGTGATCCACCGGTCATGCAGTCCGCCCTTATCCAGTTGAAAGCGCAGAAGCAGCGCCTTTGATGGTATGGATCGTTCAAAGAAGGTCAAAGAAGGCCACAGGGTCACCCTTTAAGGAAAGCGATGGACTTCGAAGCGCAAGGCAAGCGACCGCGAGGAGCCCCAAAGAAGAGGTGAGAGGACGTGATCAAGAAGGACCTAAGTGAAGTCATGGCCACAGCAGAAGATGCCCTGGACAGAGCAAAGTGGCGACGACTGACAAAGACAGCGGACCCTGCGACTGCGCGGGACTATGTCAAGGAGAAGAAGGGAAGGTAACGATTTACCGATAATTACAAATATAAAAACGTATACGTTGTTGAATGGGTTCAAAAAGTATGAATATCTTGGTAGAATGGAAGAAATGCTGAATGAACCAAGCAACGATATGGTGGTCCGCGTGAGGCAACGTGGGCATCACGCACTTCGCAATGTATTATGACGAACAGAGAGCAAAGTCAGCGAAGTCTAGTCTAACCGTAAGAAGTCTAGCGCGTGCTAGCAACCGGAAAAGCAAGAACGTTCTTATTTTCACCTTATTTCATTGAACAATTCATAGGATGTGCCATGCATTCAGAATCGTATCAACAATGAATCGTTTTGGCCTATTCCTATTCGATTTGGGAGTCAGCCGATGTATAAAGCAGGTTTCTCACCATTCAATCTTCCTCGACGAAACGGAAAGCTTCCTTGGCCTGGATGGAACCCGATTCAGGATTTGACCCCAGACCGTGTGCGGGAAACCCTTTGCTCCTACACCACCTCCGTAGTTTTACTGATATCGATATAGTGAAGAAAATTCAGAGCACTGCTTGAAAAGTGCGTCTACGCCTATCAAAGCCCTGCGATCGTGCTATCTGCTACAAAACCACGGCCCAGAACAGAAGGCGAAATCGTAGCGCATTCCATAGGACAGCTGATTGACACAGTGCACGTGCCGACTCCAGCACATGTCACAAAAGAATCTTTGCTGTGAAGCGTGCATAACAGCTATCAATTGTCCATTGGAGTGGCGCCGCAAAATGATTTGAAAAAGAGGTTGGAGTTGGAGACATCGACCAGTCATGAGTTTCGTGAACTCAAAAAACCACAGTTTTGTATCACCCAGGTAATGATTGGAAAGGTCACTGTCGACGTGCATACTCGGTGATGTATGCTGACGTCCCTATTAATAGCAAAGCCAAATCCGTTCGTTTCCCCCACTAGTTCTGATCGCATGCTTCTGGCATGACCAAAACGAGTTGAACAGTTCATTTTCGTGACACCGAGATAAACCTCTTTAGCCGTCAAAAAATGCGGAAAACAGTACGAACTGCCTCCTCCTACCACTCCTAACAACACATTGAAATCCGATGTAGCACGTTGACGACCACGCGATTTGGTCATTTTGGCTGCGTGGTACAGGCGCGATTTTCTAGCGCGACGACCGCGGTACACATGCGTTTACAAACCTCGAAACAGACTTTCGCTTGATCTTCGCCACCACACAACTGCTTCTACCTCTGATCTACCGTCGACGCCTGCGGCCAAAAAAAAACTGTTCGGCCGAAATTGAGGGACCGGCAAAAAGAGTGAGACAGTAGGCGCGCTGCGGAGGGCGCAGACGGGTATGGTGACAAACTTCGCCGTGGATTGAAATGAACCCTTGAATTAGAAAGTTTTTAATGGTAAATTTTTCCATGCCACTGCGAAGAATTCAGTCAGCTAAAGTTCTGTACCTAATTGGCAAACTATTCCTGTTATTTACCTGCTGATCTCGCAAAAAAGTCGAAAAATTGCAGGAAGCGGAGCTATCGCAGAATTCGAGAAAAGCTTTGTCAAATTTAGGTATACTTAATTCCTGTGAAAAACATAGTTTGTAGTCATGATAAAGTATGGTCTACCAAGAAAATATTAGGACGGTAAGAAAGTCCTGAGCGTTTGACATTTTGCTTTACTTTTTTATTCCGCGTACAATGGAATTTACTCAACAATATAATCACCATTGTTACTCACTACAGAGTCCCACCTAATGGGCAGGTCAGCGACCCCCTTCTCCCAGAACTGAGCAGACTGAGAGTCAAAGAAATCGCTGACCGCTCTTCAACGTCTTCAACTTTGGTGAATTTTTTCTTCGCTAGGAATGCCTTGAGGGGATGAAGTAAGTGATAATCAGAGAGGGCAATGTCAGGGGAATAGGGTGGGTGGGGAACCGCGTCTCCCAGATCAGCTCTTCCAATTTTGCACGGGTCTCTTTAGCTATGTGGGGCCTGGCGTCATCGTGGAGTAGGTGGACAGAAGTTCGTCTCGGTCGTTTTTCTCGAACAGCGTCGCTAGTTTCTGGAGCTGACTGGCGTAAATGCTGCGGTAACGGTATGTAACGGTATGTATGGGAGCAGCTCATAATACAACATTCCTCGCTAATCCCAGAGGCAGCAAAGAAAACAATTTTTGGGGTGAAGGTCCGATTTTGCTTGTGTCGGCGGGTTCTTTCCCCGAGGGAGCCAAATGCACCGTGCTTGTTAGATCGTATAGGGCCCAACTCTCATCTCTCGTAATCATGCCTCCCAAAATTGCCGTCTATGTTGCGCGACTAGAGGATAAACTGACCGGGTAATTGAAAGTCACCACAACGCCCCTTATCCTGCGATAGCGTCATCGATGGTTTTGGTGCATAAAATATAAAGTGCTGGGCAAATGTTTCTTATGTTTCGAACACCTTTCCGGAAAGAGAAAGTGCAAGTTTCACCAGGATTTTCAAAATGTGATTCCGAGACGTCGCTCGCCCATAAATCTTAGTCGTCTAATATCTTGCCTCAATCAAAGTGAATCACTGAGAGAACCGGACAGACATCTCCCTCTTGCCCCACTTTTACCAACGACCGTCCGACTTTTGCCTGTTTGGAAATCGGAAAACTGAAAGTGACAGTCACATATCAACTTCGCCATCGGCATTTTCATAGAAATGTGATGCTCGTCACAGGAACTTACTTTGAATCAGCACTTGAGATCTACTTCATCCTTATTCTATTAAAGAGAAGAACCCTTGGAAATGCCATAGACCGGGCTATCAATCACAGAATTACAAAAAATGTCAGCTAAGAGCTGCGAGCAGTTTACAATGGTTTTCTCATGAAGGTTATTGAAAGGAAGATTAGCTCTGGGCTGCACGCCACTACTCTACTATGGTCGAAGCTTCAGAAACAGGCAACTGCAAACCTTCACTTCACCGAATTAGTTCGTTGAATAGATGAGGCTCAGCGCCCATAAGTATTTTTTTTACAGCTTACACCCATACACTTACTTCATATTCTTTTCTACATACATACACATGCTATACGAATAGCTTTTCTTAAGAGCATCCGCCCGAACAAACAATTTCGGAACCCTCTCCTCTACAAAGTGACCGATTATGGCCGTACGGTATCACTAGAATGGTGTGGTTCTGCCAAAACCACATAACCGACGGGAAATAATTTCCTTAGCAATCCTTTGCAAGACTTGTGCCGGTTTTTATGCCTATTTGATTAGGCTGAAGTAATGTTCAAAGTTCTCTCGATGTGCGGAAGTAGTTTCTGGGTTGCCACATTGATTGCAAAACTCGAATCTTGATTTATGAAGTGGTATGCTAAGGAATATTTCGAAAAGGCTAGGATTTGCTTTTGCCATTTCTTCTTTCTTCTAATTAAATTACCTTCCACAAATCCAGCAGCATATCCTTGTTTGTATGGTTGCGTTATTCGTGGTGAAACTTCGACTTCAACATATGCCCATCTGTAATCGAAATTGGATTACAGACTGAAGCCGAATCTGCTCGATACAATTATGTCACCAAGAAATTCATAAGTTCGACTCTGTCGAGTCGTAGACGTAAGTTTTCATGTCGTGTTTGTTGAGTAACATCTGACGGAGGACAATTAAATGAGTCATAGGCACAATGCGCATACCCTGTTTCATTGATTAGATTGCTGTATTTCACCTTCGCCACGTGTTTCAGACATAGATTCTCTTGTCCTTCGTATTCCTTGAAGTAATACGACTGACCAAATTCGTTTTCACATAGACCAAACTAAAATATGTATAGTATCTAAATTTCAATCGATAGTAACATGGTTTTGAACAACTAACCGTTCCATCTCCATCGAGTTCCAAGGACTTTTGTGACCAGTTTTTTCTCGCCTTCTGTCCATTGGTTTGCAAGACTAATAGCAATAAATGGATAGCGAAATATTTTTTCATTATACAGATGTTGGCCAATGCAAGTTCACTCTATCGATTGGCAGCTGATCCGAGTTTTGAACGGCGGTTCGCGGCTAACCTTCAACTGCAACAGGTATCAGCAAATTATGCATTTGACACAAAATCTATATTTATTATTGTAACATTGTTTAAGGATTTTTTGATGTTTCAGTTGAGTTCCATGCCTAGAATGAAATCGAAGTGATCTCATCGACTTTTAAGTTGATTCGCATTTAGTTAAGAGTCGTAATTTAGGTTTTATCAAAAGGTTAGAGATCAACGGCATATAATAGCAAACCTAATCTCTTTCTACATGTCCAGAAGTCAAGTAGAATCACTTATTCGAAATTAGGCATGGAACTCGGCTGACCAAAGCAAGGAACAATAGATTAGAATATCCTATACTGAAGTGGATTTCCAGTTTTGCAGTCAGTTCTGACAAGGGAGATTCTAACGAGCCACTGCTAGGATGCTAACTACTTCGGTAGTTATCACAATTGAAAAAAGAATTAGATATTAGAAGAAGTTAAGACATTAATCGGAAATTCTTTCAAATTCGAGTACAGAGGAGTGTCGAAACACAAAAACAAAGATGTATACACGTGATAATGTTGCACTTTTTGTTCGAGCCTTGATAAGATTGTTCCAGTGAGGTCGGGGTCAGCGCCCTAATTGAATTGATGACCTCGGGCCCACACTCTGTACATCTGACGGGAAACGTGTGGTTAGCGCCGCATAGGAGCCATAGATTGACTTGAAACTACTATGTGATATTACAGCAACAGATGGCCTGTTATCAGCGAGATCCAGCAAGCGGTCAGCTGTTTTTCAGCTGGCCGATACGACAGCGAACGGGACGTTTCTAAAGATAAATGTGACGTTTCTGGGGTAATAATAGCGCAAAGGCGATCCAAAGGGTCTTGGGCGACAGGATCTTCGGAGGCACATTCTTTATCCTTTTAAAAAGGTCATCGGCGTGAAATTCTTCACTTATCGATTGATTTGTGTTGGGACAGCATTGAAATCCGTCGTTAAGGCTGCTGGAGGACTAACTGTGACTGACAACTACAGTTTTTCCGGTGTTCGGCACTTTTACTTGAGATTGAGAGTGCACGCAACCTTAGAATCTGGTGAAACCTACGCTTCTTTGTAGTTTCTCAGAAAATACATTGAAAAATCTGCCATCTACTGATTATTTCGTTGAAAGCTTTGTAAAGGATTTAAGTGGTTTTTTTTTCTTGAATAGATCTGCTGGACCTTCCAGCTACTCTAATTTCTTTGTACAGTCACGTTCATATTTCGAGCATTTATTTGACACATGGCTTAAGGTTGACCCTTATTCTATATTTTGAATCACATTTGCGGCACATCAATTTGTCGGTAATGGAATTTTTGGGGTAAATGAAAATAATCGCTTGGCATTGATCATTCTTGAAGTCCGCCACACTTCTGCATCCCAACCATCCAGATGGGGTTTGAAAGCGTATGTAACTTATACAATGACTTGTAATGACTAATCAGGTGCGCCAATTAGCCCTTTTGTTCTCCCGGAAGGCTTGTACTCTCGGGCAAGTTTTTAAGGCCTACTTTCCATACACAATTTTTTCGTGTACAATTCATTTTGATAGTCAATGTCATGATAATAACAAGTTATCAAGTTGTAGAATGGACTATAGCAAATAGTTATATTTTTTCAATTCTTTGAGCCTTTTGACCAGAGATTTGATCTACGATACTCGACACTTGTCATTCCCTCAACTCGCTCTTTTATTAGCAACGAAATAGCGAGTGGTCAAGACTGCTTGCGAGAAATTGCTTGGATTTTATTCTTTCACCAGAACAAGTTCTCTTTTCACCACAATAATAAGAAAACTATGATCGAGCATCAGACCGACAATCTCCTAAACTAGACTTATTCATTTTTTTTCTAGGATTTTCGATGGCGTCCGTGTTTTGCGGTTTTGAAAGCGAATCTTTTATTTGTGTTCAATAAGCAAGATGATCCCGAGCCGCCTTTCCTCCTACTGATAATTGAAGACTGTTTCATTGAACTTTGTGACGAAAACAAGCTCGGAAAGGATTTTACATTCGAAATAAAGTACAAAACGTAAGTTTGCCGTGAATCACATGATTTTCTTTACTATTATGAACCAAAATATTTTTTGTTTCAGAACTGGAAGAAGTTTCATTTTTGCTGCCGAAAATTTCAAAGCTTTGGAACGTTGGGTGTCATTGTTGACGATTACGCCATTTGATTATATGATGCTCTCAAAACAATCGTTTGCTGAACAGATTGAGCGCATACAAGCATCCGAGGAAGTGTCATCTGGATCAGGCACTAAAGGCTGACAAGGATATCTCCATGTCTTCCAATAACTCTCCTCTTTGCTGTTGCCATTTGTTCCATTGTTACTCTTATCGCTTTTTTCACATAATTTTTTTCTCCGGGTATTTCTGATGTGATGCTTCTTTCAATCTAGAAATTATATGCATAAATCGAATGAATTTCTGGTTTTGGTATTTGTTTAACAACGGTACTTATCCGTGTCTATCCTTCAATTCTGTCTCCTTTTTCTTTAGTTTCATTTTCATACCTTCAGGCCAAAGCTTGAAATAGACCAGGATTTTTTGCGTGATGCCGGTAAGCTTTCAATACCATAACTTTGTGACTCATTCTCAGTTTTTATTCGAAAACCCATCATTAAGGCGTACCACTCGAAAATTGAACCGGAGCTGTTAATTGCAAATATGGCTCTTCTACCATTGCGAACAAACTTCAAAGGACCAGCACCTAGTAGGTGTTTTTTAATGACCCGCAATAACTTTATTGTGTTGTCTATATCCATTATCTTTGAGTTTTTTTTTTACCGAAGCGGAGTGATTTTTTGGAAAAGTTGCTGTTTCAGGAACTGACGCTGAGGACATCATCGATGAAGCCCTCATGTACTTTAAGCCTAATATTTTCTTTCGCGAGTTCGAAATCAAAGGTCCTTCCGATAGAACTCTGATATATCTCACGTTGTACATCACGGAATGTCTGCGAAAACTGCAACGGGTATGGATCACAGTTGTTACCATCCAAGCGTTGGGTCATCCCATAAGTAGTGCTCGTTTTCATAATGCCTTTCCATCATTCTAGAAAAGGTGGAGACAAACACGAATAATCAGTCTGATTCGTTATAGTATTTATGAAGTAGTCCTCTCTATTTCTGCAAAGTTTGAGCTGCAAATGTCAAAAAGATTTGATTTCCAAATGGGGGGGGGGGGCAAAAAATGTTCCCCATATTTTCCTCCAAGACTTAAAAAACGGGAATAGCAATAGGAATTTTCACGGATCATAGAAGAGCACGATAAATGCGATTCAATGCAGCGGTGGCTCTAGTTTCCTCCCGAAAACCACAGCTTGAGAGGTGAGAGCTAGTATTTGAAGGCTTGATAAGCTTTGAATCACCCGAAAAACTTATTGCACCTCATCAATTTTCTAAGGCTCCTTTTTGACCACGAAGAGTAATGATGATCATGCAAATGACTTTGTACGGCGAACCAAATCCCATCGTTTATAATCACTGAACAGTGGTCTACCTTACCCACTTACTTAGGAGTCTTAAGGGAAAAAAGTGAGCGCTGTGGACGAGGTCTGTGTTATTGGAAAGCAATTTTTAAACCCAGAGCAGCAAGTTTGAGGAGAGATTCTGGAAGTTTCCGATAGAAAAGCTGATCAATCTTAGGTTATGAATAGCGTGTATATTGTGGATTGATACTGGCATTTGCACAAAATACTTTTGAAAATTTGATGACGTGACAAGACGCGCATTACTTATGGGAACTTAACAGTATATCTTCCAATGGACTATTCTCCAGTACTTCTTTGTTTCAGAGTCCAAATAAAATCTCTGGTCAAAAAGATCTAGCTGCGCTTGCCCTCAGTCACCAGCTTCCTATACCTGGAGAAGCTGATTTTCCTTTGAATAACATGTACAAGGTAAAATGTTTGTTTATTTTATCAACTAAATGAGAAGTGGTAGGTGAGAATTGTCACAGTTCCTCTGGCTTCATTTAGTTTCCCATGAAAATGTTTTAGGCACCTGCGAACAAGCAGGAAGAAGAAACGATGCGGGCCTACCTACAGCAAATGAGACAAGAACTTGGCGCAAGACTTTGCGAACTTGCATTCCCTGATCCTTCTACAAAACCAAGCAAGGTTATTTTTTCTATTTAGTTTTGGAATCAGTCCACGGAAACAGGCAGCTTTGTTACGGGTATTAGTATTTATTGTACTTCATTTATTTATCTGTTTGAAGTGAACGATGTAACTATTTCTTTGTGAAGTTTTTTTTTTTCAATAACAATGGCGAGGCATCGGAAGGCCTCTATCATTTTCAACAAGATAGCAAGTCAGCGGCTGCAGACAGATGCTACATCGGAAGCACGTTCTATGCCAAATCTTTTCCGCTGCCTCATATTTTACATCAGTGCCATCCAGCAACCTGCACTTTTTGCCGTTCAGATAGCAATGGCGACACACGATAATGCCTTCCCTCTATTCAAACTTCTCCCCCTGTTGAATCCGACAACACACTCATTACAAAGCAAATGGTTTACATGCCACAACCTCCCCCTGGCAAAGAAGGCCTGTTCGTCTTCGATTTTACGATCGCAGTAACCGCACCGATTCATTGGTGCAATAGAAATGAACCAGCCTCGCAGTACTTCGATCGGTATTTTGAAGTCGATCGATTAGACGAAGAGGCGAATAAACGAGCTGCTAAAAACGCATACATAGTGGCAGAGCAAGCAGCAAGCAAGATCGATAAGTATCCGCATAAATATTGTGTACTGTAGGTTATGTAAGTCATGGTTATGTAAGTTTCTTTTATAAATAACCTTAAAATATAGTTATTTTGTGACCGTAGTTTGGTGAAGTCAACTTTCTTGTATCTGGAAATCTACCTGCTGGATTTTACGTTTTTTGACCAGTAGTTTATATTAGCAACTTTTACAGAAAAACTTACATATTACTTGCACAGCAGTGCTATATCGTCTTCCTATTTTGCGCACCCAAAAGGCATCATTTTCTTCTCCAAAAATTGGAAGCGCCGCTGTATCACCTAACGTCTCTTTGGAGATTTAACTCAAATCCTCCATTCTCTTGGCACTACCCCACGTCCCTAAAAGAATGTTCGTCGAGCGGGAGGGGAGTGTATACGTATACCAATTGAGATCTTTGAATCCCGGAAAATTCCAAAGATTTCTCAAGAAATCTAATCAAGCTGTCAGAAATCTCTACGCTTTAAATGAGTCCTACTATCTTTGCGGAAAAGAAACCATGAATTTGCCCAATACGACTCCTATACTACTTTCCGAATGAGCTAAATGCGGGCGCTAGTGTGCTTAGTTACCCCCTATCGCCATGAGGACTGAGCCTAGAGGACAAGATGAACTTTGAAGAAAACAAATATCGCTTACACATTCCCTTCCCCTCTTCCTCCCCTCCCCAAGTCTTAGTCCTAGGAGAGATCCGGAGATTTGGAAAGAGAATGCTGGGTGCGTTGGGCTCACTGCATAGCGATGCCCCTCCCCTACCCATGAGTTCACCAGCTCCCAAACGCGGACATCCTATAGTGTAGTTCTCAAAGTCGACTCAGCCTAAGGCCACTACAATTATATCAAAGAGCCTTCTAATGGAAATCTTCAACGCCTCCCAATATGTCGCACAGCTTCGCCCGTGCCGGAACGCTTTCTATTCTAGGACTTTGCCAGTGTCAGAGTTGTCAGATCGAGCTACTTGCTAATCGATTCGTAAAGTCCGACACTGGCCTTTACACAAACGCATTAGTTTTCCTCAAAGTTACTTCGAACTTTTTGCGGTTCACAGAATACAGAATAGTATGCAATACTATAATTGATTGTGGTCTTCGTTTTGAACGTAGCCATCCATCTTCATTTGCATTTTTAACGACTCGTTACTCCTAACCGCCAGTTAACGCAAAGCATTTTTATGCCATCTGTGGTGTTCGCGTCCAAAAAGTGATAGTAAAGGAAATGTTTCAGCCAAATCGAGATTTTGGAGATTTCCACGTACCCTCGGAAAGTTGGATCATGGGTAAATACAATGATCACTACTTGTAAATGTTTGCAAATGGTTACCGACCCTCCGAATGCTAAAAATTCTCGATTTTTTTTCCAGAGGTTTATTCTCCAAGTTCTTTTTTTCAATATTCCAAGCATTTTATTGTAACACATGAACTTGGATTCAAACTTTGGTAAACTCTTATTCTGACTGCCCCATTCCATTCCTTTCTAGTGGTTCTGTTTTATCCACTACTATTATTTTCAGTTTTACTAGAAGGAGGAAGATTTCAAGTGATGTACTCTTCTTGACATTCGAACTGCATTCAAAATTTTTACATCATCTTTTAAAACTTTATGTTGCAGTGGTGGTTATCATTCTCCCGCAAGCGCTTTATGGACAAAGGACTCGTTAGTCAAGGTGTTATTCTATAAATGCATGTGAATACGATTGTACCTAATTATAACCATATGTGATTTTTAATTTATGCGTCAATCAGTAATTCTCACTATTCCACTGAATTATTAGATCTGTTCAGAAATTTTGTTGTGCTCATTCTGCGTACATATTATGCTCATGATAAACAAGTGCTTTATCCATATGCATTGTAGAATATGGACTCACTAATGCATCTCAGTGGGTCTATGTATACCGTATGGAATTTGGAGTACAGAATTAGGGGTAGAAGGGGGTGTGGTGCACTAGGACAGAAAGCGACTTTTTCGCGTTTCGCAGCGCGAAACATTTTTCGCTGCAGGAACTCAGGTCCACTCATGATCAGCGGTGGACCTGAGGTTCCTGCAGCGAAATGTTTCGCGCGCGAAACGCGAAAAAAGCCGCTTTCTGTCCGAGTAAACCACACCCGTATAAGGGTAGCGCACATTTGGTAATTCGTTTCACCTGCAGTCATCCCAATTTTTGTAGAAGTGGAAGCTCCCGGCTTTCTGATAATGTGTACGACATTTGGCGCCAGAATTGTTTTCACCCAAATGGCTGTAAACTTGCATAGAGGGTTTATTTGGGTCCCCTACCGTGTTCAAAAAAATCTACGCATCCGACTAGCACAGCACCCAAAATTGCTCACGCATCCCGGACCCCCCTCTCTCCTTTTGAGGCTTAGGCCGGTGTCAGAGTCCGCGATCTGTCGCAGGTTTCGCTGATTTTCGCGACTTACGCGATTTTCACGATTTGCGAGATTTGTGCGGAATCGGAACCGAAAATCGACCTCGCTGTATTGATCGGGCACTTGTGAGTTTCCGTGACCCGTCGCGTGAATCGCGCAAATCGCGAAAATCAGCGAAACCTGCGACGGATCGCGGACTCTGACACCAGCCTTACCAAGTCCAGGAGCTGAACCGGTGACTCGATATGTGGCTCTAATTTCCGTAAACCCAAACAACCACTCTGTGCAAGTCTGCGAACTTGAGAAAAAGAAACTCTGGCGGATGTGAAGCTCAGAATATAAGTGTCATTCAAACGGACATCAAATAAACACTGGTTCTCACAATAATGAATAGGGTAAATGGTTCTCCAAGCCAAAGGTCGGAAGATGACGAGAAAACCGAGCAAAATAAAAGAGCGACAATAAAAGTTCGGGCGACCAGTAAGTAATATGCAGTGAAGCAAAAACAGACAATCAGCCATGGAATGAACAACGCTGTGCAACATTTTTCTAGCCATCAAAACGTCCACAACAACCTGCCAAGGTTATCGAACGCCCTTGTGCTAATTCAACTACGTTTCCTGTCGGTGCGGACTCTCAGGCTAACTGAACATGGTTACAATGTCCCCCAACTAGCAAGTAAGGAAAAAAATGCCAAAAAAACACCTTATTACTTCAAGGGCTCGATTAGCAGGCGAACAGGCATGAAGAAGAGCGAAATTGTGATTTAAATGCGCGCAATTATCGATCGAAATCAGGAAACTTGAGGATCGGATTCAAATGGATGTGGTCTTGCGCGGAAACGAATCATTGATCTTCCGCGGCGGCGTCGCGTCAGTTCCGTTCTGTGCCGTCCCGTTGTTTGCGTTTGTGAACAGTGGTTGTCGTCGAGATGTCTTCATCAGAGGTTGTTGAACAACTTCAAGAAGCTGTGTCTCCCGTGAAATCGGTCGAAGTTAAGGTGCGTGAGTTGTTTCCATTGTGGGGAAGTTGTGCTCGGAATGGAACTTGCTACAGACTGTGGCTGTCCTTTTTAGGATATTGATAAGGCACAGAGTCCGAAAAAGAGAAAGCTGGAAGACGAAGAGGCCGAGGAGGTAGTCGTCGCTAAGAAGGTACGCGAGTGCGAGACTGCGGAGAGCGAGGAATCCACAGCCGCAGAGGAAGAGAAGGAAGAGCAGCAAAGCAAAGATCCTGAAGAGCCTACTGCGACGGAGTCGCGGGACGTGGAAGAACCTGTGGATATCGAAACTGTGGAGCCACCGACGCTAACGCCAGATACTGCCAGCGGCTGTGAGGAACCTACCAGAGAACAGCCGGCTGAAGCGAGTTTAGCAGAGGATGACAAGGCTGCCGAGAGCACCGTTGAGACTACTGAAGAGGGCAAGTCGAACGGTGAGTTTGTAGGCGTCTTGCTGGGTATAGTCACCGCATTTCTATGAATGTTGCTTGCAGACCCCTGAAACAAATGAAGCCGAGACAAAGAAGATTGACGAGCGCGCTTCGGAGCCTGAAGTTGTTGAACCGTGATTTAATAACCTGTTGTTGTTTCATATATTACTACTTTGCCTACGCTGTAAATGTTGAATGCCTGTCTGTGTGAATAAATGTTGCGCAACTGTCTCCTGTAAGCTGCTGTCCGAGTGGGAATGCCTTGCCAATATCTGATAGTTGTGGTGTTGCAGGATGGTTGTCGTGGAAGTCGGAGAATATTGATTTCTGGTTTTCGTACACTTATAGGTAGTCGTGGGCAGAATCCTTCGTAAAAACAAGGTTCATAGCTGAAGATGTTCGAGTAGTTTTCTCGAGAGGTTTCTGGTGAATTAACAGTATAATTCTGGAAATGCTGGCTGATGACCAGAAGTATGTGGTTGATATAGGAACTAGTACAACGAATAAGGAATTCCCTCCATCTGCATATACCTGCAGCATAAGACTAGTTTTTACTACTAGCCATAGTGAAGACGATACAAAGCTAGGCAGAACTGTAAACTACTCAAGTTTTGATTGGCGATTTTCTCAGTAAATGTACTTTTTTGCTAACTCATGATTTCATCTCTTATCCAGATTTAATTTGCTCATTTAGTGGCTCTCGTGTAACTCCACAAAGTTTTATTAGACCACAGCTGGTACTAGAAATAGCCTGGTAACGTCTGCAGCGGCAACGTTGTCAGTAATGTTACAAGCATTGAGACGCTCCATTATGAAATCGAAACGGTTGCTGTCGTCGACAGTCTGTAAATGCTTTGATTGAATTGACTTTGCTAAAGGGTTGAGCATCAATGTTACCCTTATTTGTGCCACATCTGCTGGTGATAGAGCAGCAACAGCTTGCAGTGTTGCATTGGGTGCACTCGAACTCGAGAAAGTCTTCATGATGCTGTTGAAGGCGCGCTCAAGCGTTAATCGGTCTGTCTCGTTAATGGTCTGAAAATTTACAGGCTAATTGTTAAACATCCGTGGCAAACGAAAATAGTGTTCTGAAATTCATAAGGCCGAGTATTCGTTTTGATTTTGCTCCGATAAAGGGGTGTGAGGGGTAGATGATGCGTTAAGTCGCACTGTTCGCAATAATTCCATTTTTTTGAGGGGCAGACGTCCCGAGGTGTGTAAACATGAGGCTTCCATTTTGTACCCACAGGAGTTTCCTCTGCAAAAACTGGGATTACCGCGAGCGGCATGATGTATTGAACTTCATTTGGTGGGGATGAACCCTTCGATTTTCATGCTCCATGATCGGACAAATACAGGGACACGTATCTGCGGTGGATGACGTTAGGCTGGTGTCAGAGTCCGCGATCCGTCGCAGATTTCGCTGATTTTCGCGACTTTTGCGATTCACGCGACTCACGCGTTTTGCGCGAAACCTGCGACGGATCGCAAAATTGCAAGTGCCCCATCTGAACATTTGAAATACTGAATATGAAACAAGTGAAATCGAGTCGTCTTTGGAAATTATTTCACGAGTAGGTACCTAAATTGCTCCATAAATTGCTTACACTGAATTTTCGTAAGTAGAAAAACCGTTCTCCGATTGTGTCGTTCAGATTTTCCATTGTATTGAGTTGATCCTTATCACTGCTCGTAAGATTGCTTGTCACTGAATACTCTTTGAATGAGAAAGCGTGAAATAAAAAAAATGATATATTATTCAGAGATTCGGCGCAGTGTGCATCGGGGGAGGGGGGGGGGCAGAGGCAGAGGCGGTCTGTGGGGCAGCACTAGGATTGAGCCGAAAGAGGAGGCCTATTTCGGAGCAAGGCCCTTTCCTAAATCTGAGCATCTCCATGAATCTGAAGCAATGATACGCGCCATATTGCGTAGAGATTTGTTCCGTAGAATAGTTGTCACAAGTAATTTTTGTTCTAAAAGGTCAAAAAATTTGGCGTTGATCGATCCCCCTTTGGGAAGCGCACGCATTCTACTTCCATTCACATTCGTAGTGGCGTTTGAATGCGATGTGGCCTATACAATGACTTGCGGGGCCAGCCGATGTACAAGTCAGTGTTTTTATCCTCCCAGACAAGTCTGGTACCAATTGGCCGACTGCGGGCGAATGTATGGTTGGTCTGAATGACTGCACGGGGGTGGCAATAAAGCCGCTTACCATGCACACCGTCGGAGAAACAGTCAAGTTTGAGCTTTACGACCAAATCTTTCAAAAAAATCACCTCCTTGTGCAACGAGAATCCCATCCGTGTGGTTACCCAGAAACGCCTCCATCGCAATATTTTCTTCAGCATTACAAAGAATATCGGCCTAAACACGTTCCGTGCAAATACGACAGATAATTTTCGATTTTTGAAAAAGAAAGACTTTTGTTTCCTTTTATCCCGATCTGCTAGTGTCCACCTCTGACACACAGAAAACCGCATCCAGTTTCGCTGTATTATCGTTGTTTTGAGATTAATGTTCAGAGAATCAAGTAATTCTCAAGGTCACAACTCCCAAATGTTCACTGAGTGGAATATGAGGCAGAAGGTACGAAACTATGATTCCAGGTCCAAGAAGTGTCATATTAGGCATAATTCAAGGTTTCGGAATAAATACGCACACAAGGTGCCAGGAATTTGATGTGGATCAAAGTGACTGTGCATGTACTTTTCGTCACAGAACAAACGACCTGGTCAGTTTTGTTGGATCAGTCAATTGAAAGATGCCGTTAGAATTTCAAAATTCATAGGTATAGTGACGGGTGACTAGTCGAGATCTCGCCGTCTAATTACGCGGGTTCACGGATTTGATGTTGCGGCCGTCCCACTTGATAGAAGGCGCATATAACCGGTTTCC